CCGCTGACGTAAGCATCGTCGTTAATTTCCGACGATCCCTTTTGAAATCGGATCAAAATATTGCTGTTGTACTGTTCCTTTTCAACAATATAAATGATGGATTTTCAGATTTGAACTCGGCAAACTATTGAGCAGATGCATCTTATTTGTCTTAACTATCATAGAAACTATGTAAATAAATAATGTACAATTATTATCTAACTGTGACTCATTCCTGTCATGAATTATGGACCTTTTGGTATGTGAAATGTGTTCAATTATTCGAATTTATTAATCACTGTGTTGAATAATTGATTGGATATATATATATATATATATATATATATATATAATGATAATGCTTTGGTTAACCTGGAATATGCAAATCATTTTTATGTCGCCTGGTAGAAACACATAGGTATCCGCGTCCTTCATGTCACATTATTAACCCGCATTTCCTTGAAACACCTGAACGTTTTTACCATCACAGATTTTTCTATACGACATGATTTGTGCATATACTATTCTAATGTGTGGTTCAATTTCATTTCCTAATTTGAAAAAAACATCATGCTAAAATCATGTAAAGAATGAAAAATATTAAGTTTTATTAGATTTGCGAATTTTCAAATTGAACTATTTTTCAGATTGAATTATTGATCAATCAATTTGTACTGGAAAATCTTCCGAGTATTGATGCTTACATTGGCAAGTTTTATTTCAAATTCACTCACGATAACGTGAAAATCGCAAAATGTATTTGCAACCATATTTATCAACTAATACATTTTACGAAAAGAATATTTTTCCTGAAAATATGACATTCAAACATATACCACTTCAATAGCTCTCTTGTAAGCAGTAACCCTCTATCAAGGAAATCAAAATAGGAAACACAAGCTCTGGGATATCATACTGACTAGGAGATGTATACTTTAAATGCAGATGCTGTCGGAAGATTGCAACTTAGAAATGGAAATATCACATAAGGAAGCTTAAATCATCCTTGTAACTTTTTGATGTCAACCAATCCTTAGTATCAATTTATAGATATTAGTCAAGATATGACGCAGACTCACTGTATCTGTGGCATCTTTTATTTCGGGTTTGTTGGGATAGATTCGTTCGATATAGTCACTTAACTTTGAATTATTTAGTGAGACAACGTCATCTGTGTAGCGAAATGTGACGTTAAAGGATAATGCTAGCTTCTTTTAAATAATTATAAGGAATATTCACTTCACATCAATACTGAATGGCATCGACTAAAAGTATACTCTTCTCAAGTATCAGGAATACCATTGACAAAAAATAAATACTTAATAATAACATTATTTGGTGTCATTGACTTGAAATATTTCCTTGTCGATTTATATATTTGATTAAATGTTATTGGTAAAAGCTGGTGATTCACCAAAGGTAGAGCAATAACAACCTTGGATAAGTTAAACCCTTCTTTTTTAGAGAATCAATACATTCTAATATCAATAAAGAATAAATAAAGGCAACAGTAGTATACCGCTGTTCAATAGTCATAACTCGATTGAGCGAAAACAAATCCGGGCCACAAAAACCGAGGGAAACACGTCAACTATAGGGGGGAAACAACGTAACAACAGAAACACTGGACTGCTACAAAAACAAAGGCCAACATACACAGAAACGGACTATTTGATAACAACTGCCATATTCCTTACTTGGTACAGGACATTTTATAAAAAATGGTGGGTTGAACCTAGTTTTATGGCTAGCCAAACCTCTCGCTTGTATGGTTATGTTAAAAATACCGCTAAAATGACAACATTACGTGACAGGAATACAGTACAAATAAATGAAGAACACTCAGGACAGAGAAATACATAAATAAATAATATTTAATAGTACATTACAACATGTAAACCACAGAATAATAACGGACACCTCCCATGAATTTACGACAGTACACCAGGACACCACAATAGAATTATAAACTGTGCGTCACACGAATGTATCAACGCCACAAAATGTGACGTATTTATTGTGACGTTTATTTTATCACAGGTAAATTTCTAAAAATAGAATATAAAATTGGGATTGAGTTTGTAATGTTGTTATTTTGTGTATTTTTTAACCATGACAAGAATATTAAAATGGAATTGTGTTTGTAATGGTGTAATTATTTGTATTTTCTAACCATGTCGGTTTTCTTCTAAATTAAAACTGTGTATAAACAACAAAATCCTGTGCATATAGTTGCTTTAAACTAAAAATCATATGAATTAACTAGCTGATTAATTATCTTAACTTTTGCTTACATATAGAAAAAAATAGAATTCAAACCACAAACGATAAGACATAACACAATATCTAACAGGACTTACAAAAGAAACATCATAACTAAATACATGAATGTTGGACGTATAAATACCGAGACACGTCGTATCGCAATGCGAATTCACATTCGGCAAACAGTCATATTCGGAAATAGATGAACCACACAATTGTAATTGGAAAAATTTCATTATTTAAGACAAAAACGCTGTACGTAGCTACAACTACACAAACCAGATCTGGATAAAACAAATATTGGTTTCATATTTTTAAACGTCATGCGGAGAAATCCAAATTATTTAATGCCAAGTTAGGTACCAGTTAAACATTAAAAAAGAAGAATACATGATATGTAACATTTCATTTGACTTTAAAGTCAAATACCGATTTTATGTAAAACATGGACCAATATTCTTCAAAAGCCATGAACATAAACTCTTAACCCAATTAACATTTTTATAAAGGCTTCATATATCTTGTATATGAAGGTAACGTTGAAGGAAACGCATAAATAAAGGATAAACATAAGAAAAAGAACGTCATTGAAGATACATAATGATATAGAAATGAAGAAAATTACTATATATTGTTGCTCTGACATCGGACGGCCTTTTGTAAAGATTTTGCTGGGATCGTCCGTATAGAAAATATGAAAATCGCATACCAAGATGTGGGGCGGCAGATTTATGTCGCGAAATCTTTAAAATCCATTTAAAAGTAAACAAATCATGCATATTGATTCCTTATTTATTTTACTGAACGAATATGTAACTTTCATTAGCGTACAATCATTCTGTAACACAATGGCCCCAGCAAATCCTACAAAGACCTTAGACATCAGAGCAATTAACATAGACTTCGCCAGGCAGCTCCCGTATTTTCCTATGTATAAAAGACTCACAAAATATTTTATATCTAACGAGGTGTACACCTGTCAGTTGTAATTTTCGTAACTGTAAATTAACGCTATAGTAGTAAACTTTTATTTGCATCTTTAAACGGTAGAATCTCCAACACGAAATAATTCATACTGGGAACAAAAAAAATGATACTATTCGCTCTTTAGAATTTTTCTACTTTGAATAAATTCGGACTATTTTCTTGGCCAAGGAGACGTAATAAAAATCTAATGCAAAAACTAATAAACATATGCTTCATTGATTGATTGATTGGTGATTGCTTTACGCCGCATTAGCACAAAAAGGCTATATCGCGGCGATGCTTCATTGAAAAGTTCAATCACAATCAAAAGAATATCTCAACAACCATATTTTACAGATAAAGCATAGTATGAAAGGAATACTGTTTGATTGGGTAATGACTTTAAAGCAAATTCGAGCGTCATTAAGGAGTCTTTTTTGGAGACGAAAGACGCGTCTGGCGTATACAACTTTAACCTATTTTCTATGAGTTTATTCACAACCAATGGGTCGATGACGCTGCTGGTGGAGGTTTTCTCTCCGATGGTATCACTTGCTCAGAAGTCAGCACGTATGTGTTAACCTGAATAATCATTGGTATAGTCATTAATTATAAATAACTGTTTATAAAGCTTTGAATATTTCGAAATACTAAGGATTTTCTACCCCAGGATTAGAATACCGTAGCTGTATCTGGCAATAACTTTAGGAATTTTAAGGTTATCAGTGCTCTTCAATTTCGTATTTTATTTGGCCATTTAAATTTTGTTTTATTCGAGCGTCACTTTTGAAGACAAAACGCACGATCTGGTGTATTAAATGTATCCTAGTATCTATGATGATTTTATCTATACCATGTCACTCAATTTATGCCTGAGGTATTTTGATTCCTCTACAACGGTGATTGAGACATCGAAATACTAAATTTTCCGTCAGTCAATGTAGTTTGTAAGTGATTTGGTCTTTAAACTTCGATAACCAATGATGATTGAATACCCTTTGTGTATAGGCATGTGAAAAATAATACAAATATTTACCACATAAGAGACGACTATAACTGGTAAATTATAAAGTCTGGGATTTCTTTATCACAATTTCTTTCAAAACATTATTAAATTATTTCATAGATTTATGCAGCAGTAGTTAACCTATGTTCAAATATCATAAATGGATACAAACATTTAGTGTGCTATATACGGTATGTACTATCAACTAAAAAAACTTTTTTATCAGCGTCTTTGTCAATATACATCAACTACAAAAACTAGTTCTTTGGCGTCTTTGTCAAATTTACTATAAAAAAAACACCTTTTTTGTAGGCGTCTTTGTTAGATTTATCTGTATGTCTGTTTGAATGTTATAGTCAGTTGTGATGTATGTTTACAAAATTTATACAATTATTGTCACATTTACCTAGTATGTCTGTTTGTGTTTGATTGCTCACCCAGTTTTGTCATTATAATGGAACTATGAACAACTGTCAAACAAGTGGAAGGTTTAGCTAGATATAAAACCAGGTTTAACCCACCATTTTCTTCGGAACTGCCTTTCCCAAAACAGGAATATAACAGTCGCTTTTCATTAGGTATGATGTACCAGCAGTGTATGGTTTGACTGGTTAAATGAAAGGGACCATAATGTTTGATGTACCTGCATTGTTTGTTTTGACTAGTTGAATTATAGGGACCATCAAGTATGATGAACCAGCAGTTTATGGTACACTGTATGGCAAGTGAATATATATATATTGAGTTGTTTAAAACATGGCCTCGTTTAAATGAAACTAAAACCAATCAAAAGAATGTTTATTTATTATCATACAAGTATTTTTCTTCTTGATTATATATTAGGTTATTTTATCAATATGACAAATAAATCATATTCGTAACAACTGCAAAGCCAGTGCAAAACACATTTGACTATTACTAAAATTCTAAATCTAACATAAAAGTGATATTCCTAACATGAATCACCCACTTGAACAAGCTGCACAATTTCTTCAGTTTAACAACTCATTTAATCAAGATAAGAGTTGCATTAAATAATGGTAAATGACTTAATTTGTACCTGAAGATAAGTAATAGATGGAAGTTTTTACTATTGTATGGTATGTATCACCAGCCTGATGTACTGCAATAGGACATGGATAATACAATCAATAATGTCAACAAAGACTACACTTGATTACAGAGCACACATGATTTACCACTTGGTATTATTCCATCAAATTTTCTGAGAAAATAAAAAATACTAAGGGTCCTAGTTTACGTGAAGCTATTTTACTTCAGTATAAAATGTGCATTTTCTAGCTTAATAGTTCTTAATCATATTAATCTACATAATCATTTATATCATTGTCTGAATCACTGTTTCATCACTACAATCATCTAAGACAATCACAATCTGTGTGTAGTTCACTTTAGGTATTTAGCATGGTGGGTTATGTGATCCTCTATAAACGTGGCCATAAAGTAATAACTGTGGTCATATCCCTACAAAATAAACACATATTAATTTAATATGACAAAACATTCTCATCATTCAAACACATGTCTTTTATCTCATTCTATATGCGCCTAGAAAGGACATCAGTCCAGATTGAAATGTTTTTTGAGAGAACTTTGAAAAGAAATAAAAAAATAAACTGATATTTTAATACCATTTATTTAATTAATACTGATTCACAATTAACAGAATCATAATATGTCACTAATCTAATGCATTAAAGAAATTTCAATTTCAAATTAGTAAAAGGTGTTTCTGAGTTTAAAAATGACAAATTTTCCTTTTCAGAGTTTTAAACTAGGATAAGAATTTCTTGCACACAGCATACTGGTAAATAGTTACTATCTTGTAAATTATTTATTTACTTATTAATGGATGTTATGTGCATGTTAAAATCAGTATTTCTTGTTACCTAACTTTACTGAAGTTTATGAGTTAAAGAATACTACAGTCTTACCAGGGTGATAAATTACATTTCCCTGTAGTAACTTCATATAGGTTAGGGACTGGTTGGGTAAGACATTTCTGCTTACAGCATAAGAGTTAAATTAAGAATGCTAATAAGAAGCAAATGAGCAGAAACTTGAAAACAGTAGCTACAAATCTAAAGTAATTGCTTTTTTTGTGCATTTGTTGTACTATGAAAGATATTTCCACAAACTTGGTATCAAATGAAAGTTTAACAGATTGCAAAACAGTATTGAAGGTTCTCCTTTTACTTGTGAATGTGCAATAGGGCACTAGGTCTGACCATAAGGAATGTCTGTAATTTGAAGCTACACTTCATCAGATAACACACAGTTACCTCTTGCATCCGGAGTGTGACTGGTGTTTTACTTTCTGTACATGCTGCCACAAAATTATCGGGTAGTAATTGTCCTGGGGCTAAAAAATTATCTGCTTTACCCTGCAATCAAATAATACAATCTGATAGAAATTGTCCTGGGGCTAAAAAATTATCTCCTTTACCCTTCAATCAAAGTAATGATAGAGCAAACCACAAAAGTTATAATTATCTGGTGTTATTGCTCTGGAACCTTAAAACATGTATCTACTTTACCTTGCAATCATTATTATACAATGATAAAGCCAAAGTTGTTTTGTTGTTTGACTATATAGAAATGAGGGGAACAATTCAATGAGATGGCAACCATCAACACAATTAATCAAAAAGAAGACATACACTGACATATAGATTGATTGATAGTTTTTAGTTGCTTGTTAACATTCATGAAAATTACATGTTCATAGCATTTGATTAACTCTGCATTATTGCTAGACTGATGCAATTTCAGGAATATTTGGCGCTAGCTTACAAAAATGAATGAAGTCTTCTACAGAACTAAAACTTAATTCTTCTGCTGAGGTGACTAGTCTTTGCTTTAGTCATGTTTTTACCAAGCACCTCTTGCACTGGTTTTGTGTGACAACAAAGGTGGTAAAGAATAAATATATTGTAACATATCCAAACTAAATAAAAACAAACTTTTGAAATAAGATTGTAAATTCATTACCAACATTGCACTGAGACTGCTGTAAATATCATGAATCTGAATCAAATACTGACTTTTATGTCCTAAACAATAAAAGCAACAATCAATGTAACCCATAAAATACTATCCTATTTATTTTCTTTGGTTGTTGGGGTCACAAATTGTTCTGAAGAGATTTTCAATGTTTAACGTTATAACATTTTTTTGAATTTTACCTGATCAATCAATATATCCAATGGTGGTCCATTGTACTTCTTTACTAGACAAGTAGCATCATATTCCTGTGAATAAAACATTACATATAATAAAATTTTCCTACATGTTTATTGTGGTTTAAACCAAATGTCTAATTGCACTTGTAAAACTAAGCAAATGGGAGATAGGTTAAAATGATGAATACACCTACAGATCATAGAAATGCAAACTATTTACTTTTGAGAATGCTAAACATTCAAAAATTATTTCTTCCAATGAAAATTAATTTAATCTTAACAAGTTCTAATATATTTTATGAATTTTGATAACTTTTAAAACTGACCTTCCAAGCTTCTTTGTCCTCTCCAAGGTAACCAGTGAAGGCCTTGACACCCCATGGACAGTTGATTGGATTACAAATTGGAGCAAAAGCACTAACAGATTTATATTGGCCTGGATTTTTCAGAGCACAAATCAGGGCACCATGTCCACCCATACTATAATATTTAAGCAAGTAAAAAATGATTCAATATTCAAAGTTAATGTTTGTTAAAACATTTCTGTTTCAATAGTAAACTTAAAATAACTTCAAATGAATAAAAGGAGATATGTGTCTATGATAATGTAAAATAATGGACACTTTTTTCTGAAAAAAATGTCCATAAACAGTTAAATATCAGCATTTGTTTTACCTTAAGGGAATTTTATATTTTTTTCAAATGGCAGCTTTTCAAAGAAGAAAGTTGACCTAACCAAACAAGTGCAAGTTTGTAAGTTGCAAATTTTAAAGTTTTTTGCCTCCATTGCTGAAAACATGTATATGCAGTATTCAGCTTATATGCTGGGAGTAACTGAATGTTTACTTAATATATAATATAATAAGTAAAGCAACTGTGATATATAGAAGCTTAGGTAAGTTTGAGGAACTCGAAACCCATAAAGTAACTCTTTATTTACAGTTTTACATATTTTACACTTAAGAGCTTCCTGCAGTACGATGTATTAGTCATATGTCTATCATTTCATAAAAAAACCAGTATCTAAATCAGCAACAGTTTCTAATCAGCTATAAAAATGCATAAAGGATATCATATGTACCTATGTCCAGAAATTGATTGCTTTCCAACATCAACAGGAAAATTACTGTTTATTAAAGCTGGTAGCTGAAACAAAAACAAAAATTTTAAATTTACCTAAAAAATACTTGAAGAGATGTACTACATTTCATATGTTTTATAGTACAAATGTGTAAGCATAGAAATATATATATCATAAACTGTAAACTCAGAGATATGTCTTGCCTGTCAGCAGAAAATTCAGAAAATAAAAGAAGAATGTGTCTGAGGACAATAATGCCCCCGCTCAAGCTTTGCAATTTTCCAAGTTAAAAAGGAGGCATAACTCTAGAACAGTAAGTGACTCTCTACCAAAATTTGAACTCTGTCTGCAAGTTTTGGTTCTTAGCTGTATGCATGAGTTTCATAAAATTTGGATAAGAAAAACTTAAGTTAAGAGTGTGGAAACAAAAACTAGAGGCTCTAAAGAGCCTCAGTCTCTCTGCCAACATCTTTATTTTTTGGTAAAAATCATCATGAAAGGGCAATAACTCAAAAAGAATTAAATGATAATTTCAGTCATGTTGACTTATTTGTAGATCTTGTCTTGCTGATCACTTTTGCTATATAAAGTTTCTATCTATCTATTATAATTTTCAAAATAATAGACAAAAATGCAAAAAAAAAAGGGAAAATCTTCATCAATGGGCAATAAGGAGTCAACTGACAATTTCAATTATGTGACTTATTTGTAGATGTTGACTTGTTGATCATTTTGGCTTTAAAAATTTCTCTCTATCAAGTATAGTTTTTAAGATATAAGACAAAAACACAAAAAAATTGGTAAAACTTGCTTTAAGGAGCAATAACTCCAATAAGGAGTTGTCTGATGATTTCAGCTATGTTGGCCGACTTGGAGATATTGTTTTGCTAATCATTTTTCCTTATATAGATTACTCTGCATCTATTATAGTTTGAAAAAAATAGACAAAATTGATTTTTTTTTTTTTAAATCTGACATTTAAGGGGTGGGCTATAACTCCTATAACAAGTCATCTGACAGTTTTGATGTAAATGGACAGGAGGTAGATCTCAACATTCTCAACATTTTTGCCTATGACAGATTTTCTCTATTCATAGCAGTTTTTAAGATAATAGACAAAACTTGCATTTTAACCCTATGTTCTATTTTTAGCCATGTCGACCCTCTTGGTTGACAGGCGGGATCATCAGACATATTTTTTAAACTAAATATCCCAATAATGATTGTGGCCAATTTTGGTTAAATTTGGCCCAGCAGTTTCAGAGGAGAAGATTTTTGTAAAAATTAATAGCATGGACGCCAAGTGATGAGAAGAGCTCACTTGCCCTTTCGGACAGATGGGTCAATATCCCTAATGCGCCTCGAAATGAGGAACTCAAAAGTTGTGTGTAAACAAAAAATCTCTGTGTAGTGATATTGGACATGTTTCTATTTTTTACAAATAGCTGAGCTTAACCATTTGTGGTGATTATGAAAGTAGAGGAACATAGAATAAATGTGTAAAAAATATGGAGCTATTTAATGTGTTCAAAGTATTAAATTTTCAAAGAACTTATTGCGTTAAAAAAGGGATTTTTTACCACGAGGAGCCGCATCACGAAAGAATGTTTGGGGTATGCTAATTTACGGAAAAAGTAATCTCACTTCGTACCCCGAAAATTTAACCACATATGTGAAAATGTCACAGCTTTGAAACGAGCTATCATACATATCCAAGTTTACGATATGGACTGAGCTACAGGAAAAAACGTTACCATTACCGCCTATGGAAAAACAATTAAAGATGTTGACCCAGATGAGTTAAAAAATTACAATTTTCCAAGTTATAAAGGGGCATAACTCTAGAACGGTAAGTGACTCACTGCCCACTTTCGAACTCTGCAAGTTTTAGTTCATAGCATTGTGCATGAGTTTATAAAATTTGGACGAAAAAATGAAGCTAAAGTGTGGAAACGAAAATGGGATGGACGGAAGGACCGACGGTCAAGGGTAACACTTAATGCCCCAGTTGCTTACGGCAGGGGCAGACAGGATAAAAACAATCGCATGGACAGCAACATTGCAATTAATTCAAAATTGCTGGACCATGAGCTAGAGGGCAGGGTCACAAGTTGTCTCTATCAAACTGACTTAAGCAGAAAAAATAAGACATTGAGATTTTAAACGTTTTGATTGGCATGTTCCAAACAATAGGTTTTATGACCTGGTGAAGTCCTTACCTCCTGTGTAACGTAAGCATACATCCTATAGTTTGTTTTCCATGGATCCTGTGTGGCATTGACATAGAACCCAGCTCCTGATCCAAAGTCATAACTGTCATCTTCTCCTGCGATCTTACAGTCACCTGAAAACAAAGGATCAGTATACAAAAGATTTAAACAAATTTAATAATAAATTATACAAAATCTAAGAATGCTGCATATATACTGAAGATAGCTCAAAGTTACTTGATGATATGATTGATTGTTGGTGTTTAACACCATCACTATAGCTATATCATGGCCGCAGGTTTTTATTGGTTGAGTAGGAGAGCCCATAGAACACCACAGACCTTATGCAGGTAAACTGTCAATCCTGGTCAATTGAGATCAGCATCAAACATTCCTTGCAACGAGCAGGGTTCAAAACTCACAACCTCAGTGTTGACAGGTTAGTGCTCACTGTAGAGGAACTACTCAGACCACTGGACCACTGAGGCCTCTACCTGCTGACATAAAGTCTTAATGTCCTACATTCTTATGTCAGTGTCTGTACAACAGAGTACATTTCAATCAGCAGCATTGTCAATTGGGTGGTAAAAATGTCAAAATTGGAACATTCAAATCTATAAAAAGCATGATTTAAAGGGAAAAAAATGTATAAATAATATTACTATTTCATCTAATTCTGAGAAAAATCTAAGAGATAAAATGTCAGAACTTTTTTACAGACAAAAACAAAACCGATACAATTTTATTTTAACCAAAAGCGATCAGAAAAAAAAAGATAATTTGTTGATTTATACTGGTAGCCCAAATTTTTCTTATGCCTCATGAAACCATCCCAATCAGTTTCAGATAAATAGTGCAAAATTCTTCTGTTTGCATCGTCTAATCCTCATTTGTAGCATGGAAGTAAAATATTTGACAATATATCAAACAATATATGCTTAGTATAGGTCACATTAGTTTAGTTGCATTTCTGTTATGTTACCATAATATTTTGAACTTACGTGGACTGGTGTCTGGTGCTACCACTATTATACCATTCTTTGCAGCATACTTCTGGGCACCAGCTTTTGTTACAAAGTTTTGGTCAGTACATGTTAATCCTAGAAATAAATTATGAAAATAAATATGATCTGTACCATTTTATTGAATAATCTATTTACTGTAATATTTGAATAATTCTGAAACTTTACTGTACTCATTGAATTATTTATTAATTGCAATTTTCTTGGTTAACTTTCAAGGGGGCTAATTCCTGAAGATATAACGATATTTATGACAGTCAATAGGAATTGTGTCAATGTAGAAAGAGTTAGTTAAAGCAATCATATTTAATCAGGCAGGAAATCATTTGTTTAAGACTTTCAGAAAAAACACTCTCTAGGTGTTACTACTTCCAATACCTTTTAGGTATTTTTAAACAATGAAACAATTTTTGCTTAATCAGATTTGATAGATAAAAATAAAATTTTGTAGATAATCTGGAGCATACATCAATAAAACAATAATGCAATAAAACCACATATGAAATCTTTATGTCTTAAACAAGACAAGTATCTCTACTACATAAAATACATAGACCTGGTGTATAAATTTGTGGGAAAAAAACATTACATGCATCCAAAGCAAAGAAACAGTGCTGTAATGGTTGTTCTTCATTTCAAAGTCACAGTGAACTCTTCAAAGTGGATCAAACCTCAGTGAATGTAAAGGAGAAGAAGGGACATGGTAAAATAAACACCATTCAAATCCTTGATAAACCATACAAAGCAAAGGAACACGGCTCTAACAAGGAACAAAATCTCACATATTACTGCAAGTTCAAGATGGCCACTAGCACAGGTTTTAGTATAATTCTTTGCTACATGTAGATGTCAATAATGCTACATCTGTCAAACTCTAAGTCCCAGTTAGTCTAGATACCTGTTAGTCTAGACAACCATTAGTCTAGACACCTAGTAAAGAAATCTAATAGAAATAATATCTTCCATCAATGCCAAATTCTCAAAGTGACCTAAACATAAAAATTACCACTGACAAGGTTCCTGCCCATATAGAGAAATATTAAGCTTAATTTAAATGAAACTTGTTACAATCTCTTCAATGAACTGATATCAAAAGTCACTTGTTATAGCTACAAATGTACGATCCTGTCCTCTTTTCCTCGTTAACAATATCACTGAATGTGACTTGTCACTGGATTAATGCTTGAAATGAGCAGCACAACAAGTGACAGAAACCCAGCAGAAAATGCTATCGTTCCAGTGCACCAGAGTTCCCCGTCATATTTGGTGGAGTAATTGTTACTTTAACCTTAGTTTACAGTGAAGTGTTTTTCAGACTGTTCTTTTTTTTTTTCCTTTTGGCCAAAGGGTTGTCAGTCTTTCCTAAACTTATGACTTTTGATGACCACCTTTAAATGGTATCTTCTCGCTTCATTATCTCATTTCTGATCTATTATCAGTAACAACCTTCTATAAGCAGTTGTCAGAACAACCTAATTATGCTCAAACTCAAATGTCTAAGCTAATCAACAAACATTTTGGAATATGGTTTTAAAGCACGAAAATGGCCAGGTTGCACAGAATGTTTCTTAATCAATAGAGAATGCTCTATACTGAACATTTAAATATTTGAAAAAGTGTGGAAAAATGAGAAAAAAATCCTCAAACAATTCCATAATAGCAGGTGCACAGCTTCAATATATGTACAGTCTTCCTGTGAGGTATCAGAGATATGGGTTGACAACTGTAGGAGTTGATTAGACAAATTTGGTACCCAGTTTTCCCTGCCCGCCAGCCCAACATCACCATATTATTAGCAAATGATTCGTCAGCTGTTATTTATATAGTCTTTACCTGATAACCAATACAGCACAGGACATTTCTTTGAGTCAGCTTGAGGTGGTAAATATATCCCAAACTTCATGGTACATTTGCATTCTGTACTAAAGACATTCAAGAAATAATTATATAAATATTGATAAAATGAAAATTACCAGATGCGAGGCCCGCTAATTACATTTTAATTTAATGTCAACAACAAAAGTTACATTTAAAGTCTTTGCAAAACTGAGGTTATGAATTATAAAATCATAACCGTATACAACAATATGTCCCCTAATGCACCTCACCAGAGATAATATAAAAATAACCTCCCTTTGCACCTTATACAACAATAGTTTGTCCCCTAATGCACCTCATCAGAGATAATATAAAATACAAGTTATATATACAAACAAACTGTAGTTACAAATGTAAACAGTATAAGAATTGGAGAAGATAATTCATAACATACAAATCTACATGTATATATGTTTAATTTTTGTTCAACTGCATTTTTTTTCTTGAATGCATACAAAATTAAAGACCAATATTTACAGCTATTCTGAATAACAGCAAAAATTTATGGTTCCTATCGATACTCTATCAGGCTCTCGAAAGAAAGAAATACATAATCACCTCTCATGACTAAATACTTTCTGGAGGCCATCAAACATTTTATTGCTAGATACTTCTGTCACAGCCATTTTATTCTTTATATCTGAAAGAAAGAAGAAAAAAAATGTCAACAATGATTTAAAACCATAAAAAAATAACTATAATCAGGAAAAATTTTAATCATTCCCTACAATTCCAAGAATATTGAAGAATGCTGAAAAAAATGGCTATTACACTTGAATTTTCAAAAACAAAGTTCTGACTTATTTAAGAATGTTTACTATCTATTTTAATGAAATATGAAGCAATGTGTAAATCATCTGATCATGTTTATATACATTTTTTACCATATTTTTATGAATTAATTTGATTTTTATATATATATCTTGCCAAAAAACTTTTCCTTAAAAGGAATTTGACCCCGAAATCATATTAAAAAAGTATGATGGGTATTAATCTCTTGTTGTTCTTGGAGACAAAAGTGAAAGTATCACAACACTTCCTTGTCAACAAATATGATGACTGAAAATCAAGCACAATTTCCTAAACTGAAAAACTTTTACAAGTTTACAGTCATCTGTAAGAATTTAGTAATGATGTGCCTAGTTTGTTTCCTATTAATACTAGAATCATATGATCTTGTGATCACAGATCAAGTGCTAGGAGCAGAACACTTTTAAGGTAAATGTGGAGTGTCTTTTTACCACGAAACACCACAGAACAACCAAAATATACAACAAAACTACATAAAATAAAATAAAACGACTTATATATACAACAGAACATCAAAATTATACTACAAAATTTAAAAATTAAATACAGAGTTATATCATTTCTATATAAATGGAGACTTCCTCTAAAGAGTTGCCTCCCCTCAGATATTATCATACATATGAATATGTATATGACGCAAATAAAATAGTCCTCAATATATTTTAAAAGTGGAGGATTTTTTCTTCTTTTTGTGAAAAATTATTCTGTATATCAATCGTCAATGGCAGTCAGCAGGGTTTAAGAACATATGTTGTTCGACCTGCTAGTCAAATGCATTTTGGTAAAATATACTTTTACACTTTTTTGGTCTTTTGGAAAATGTTGTTTGTGCTGTATTTAGACCCCTCTAACAAGAAATTTTTTTTACATGCACACGTATAAAAATTGCGGTTTTTATCAACACCTTAAGAAGCACAATCATCCTATTAAATATTTAGCAGTTCAACCTTTAGAAGTAGTAAATAAGCAGCCTGGTGAATCTCATTCAAAGTTTGTACGATCGCGGAAAATAATTGAATTAAATTGGATTAAAAAATTACAGACAGTCTACCCTCTCGGTCTTAATGATAATATCATGGGAATTGGTAATATATCAAGAACCGATTCTGTTAACATTTTGGATATAGTTTCTAAAACTGTTCGTAAAAACCGTTCTCATGGTCGTAGAAAAAATCGCAATCAAAGAAAATTTCGGACCAATCATACCAATATTTCGGACCTAATTTCTATTTCAAAAAACAACGGCAGACATTATCTGTTAACAAAGCTCTGTTCATTACCGGTTAATAAGTTAAATAAAATTTTAGAGGATTGCAACACAATTTCATATAGCAGTCCTAAGTATGAAATCGTTCAAATTATAATGGCATATTGTTATTCTAAACTGTTTCCCAAAATTGATCGCCCTGAAGATCATAAAAAAACAGTTTATTAAAATAAAGTATGTCAATAAAGGTTTTGATTTTGTAAATATTGCCGGTATTTTTAACGACCATTCTGTTAAAGAACAAATTCTGGGATATTTTGATAATACTGAGCTCCCTCTTATTTGTTATATTTACAAGAAATCTACCCGGAAATTTGTGTTTAATTATAGCCAATTGTGTAAAGATGTTAATATCAGTGAAAATACACCTACTTCATGTAATTGCAGTAATTCCGAATACATTTATGGACCCATTTCCCATGTTATAACAGGAGATCTTAACATCGTTCAAGACCGAGAGTTAAAATCATTCCTCAGTAAAGGACCTAAATATCGTCCCCCGTCAATTATTAATTGGAATGAGTGTCGTAATATCATCCACGACTCACTCCATACTTACTGTTTGAAATGGATAAAAAGGGAAAAAGCTGACAAAAAATCTTTGGACTCTTTTTTTAAATCAGTAATGAACATAGTTGATATACGTATTCAACATTTTAAAGAACATTTTACTCTTAACAATAACAGTTACCACAATAAACCTATTTCTCGTATCAAACATAAACTAAAAGAACTAGCCAAGGAATTTGTTTTTGTCCCGGCCGATAAAGCTGCTAATAATATTATTATTGTTTGACGTAAATTTTACATTGAGGTTCTGAAAAAAGAAATCACTAATTCACCAACATTCCAACTGACTCCATTTTCAGAAAACGACATCTGTAACAAACATAAACTTTTAGCTACCGCTTTACAAGCAGAACCAAATACAATGAAAGTCCCAACTATGTATTGGCTTCCGAAGCTACACAAAACACCTTACAAATATAGATTCATTTCGTCTTCAAGCCATTGTTCCACTACTAACATGACTAAATTGTCTATTCTTCTTACCAGTACACTTGGTACAATCAAAAACCTGATAATAAATTGTTCAAATAAGGCCTTCGAAAATAGTGGAATTAATTACTTTTGGAGTGTCAAGAACTCGTTGGAAGTACTTGATAAATTGCATGCATATATTGGTGATTTTGAATCTGTTCAAAGTTTTGATTTTTCTACCCTATATACCACATTGCCTCACATTCTCATTAAGAAAAAATTCACACACCTAATTAAATGGGCATTTAAAAAGTCAGAATGTGAATATATATGTTCAAACTCTTTTAGGTCATTTTTTAGTAGCAATAAACAAAAAAACTATGTCAATTGGACATGCTTTGATACTATATATGCCCTTGAATTTTTACTAGATAACATTTTTGTTCGCTTTGGAGATTCCGTATATCGTCAGGTTATCGGAATTCCAATGGGGACTAACTGTGCACCACTTATTGCGGACCCTTTTTTTGTATTGCTATGAGTTACAATTTATGACAAAAATCAGTAAAGACCCATCGAAACAACATCTGATACACAAATTTAATAATACTTTTAGATATTTGGATGATATTTTGGCTCTCAATAATGACGACTTCAGTATGTATACTAAAGAAATTTATCCTGTTGAACTTACTTTAAATAAAGCTAATACTAACAATGACCACTGCCCTTTCCTCGATCTTGATATCTATATCATTAACGGAAAGCTTAATACTAAAATATATGATAAAAGAGATGATTTTTCATTTCCTATCGTTAATTATCCATTTTTAGATGGTGACGTTCCCTTGTCACCATCTTACGGTGTTTATATATCTCAACTTGTACGATTCGCTTGTGTATGTAACAATGTTTTAGATTTTAACGAGAGAAATTTATGTATTACTGAAAAATTATTACACCAGGGTTTTCGATATCACAAACTAGTCAAAACATTTACTAAATTTTATCATCGGTATAAGGACATCATTCGTAAATATAGCTCAACATGCAGACTTCTTATACGTTCAGGTATTTCACATCCAATTTTTTATGGAAATATTCTTTATAAAGCACAAAAATGTCAGTATTCACCTCTGAAACTAACAAAACCTTTAAATAGACTTATTAAGAAGGGATATAGTTACGATACTGTTGTCAGGTCATTAAAGATTGCATATTTTGGCGTTAATATTGATTCACTTATAGGGTCTTTGCATCGGCACTAAACACATTTATTTAAAAACCAGTTGTTGGCATGACACGGGTTATGTTCTTCTCATATATGTTATGATGGTATGATACTAAACCCCTAACAGGAAGGATTGTGCCTGATATTCATATGATGAAGACATAATCTTTCAATCAGTTTAATTGAAGTCTGGAGCTGGCATGTCAGTTAACTGCTAGTAGTCTGTTGTTATTTATGTATTATTGTCATTTTGTTTATTTTCTTTGGTTACATCTTCTGACATCAGACTCAGACTTCTCTTGAACTGAATTTTAATGTGCGTATTGTTATGCGTTTACTTTTCTACATTGGCTAGAGGTATAGGGGGAGGGTTGAGATCTCATAAACATGTTTAACCCCGCCGCATTTTTGCGCCTGTCCCAAGTCAGGAGCCTCTAGCCTTTGTTAGTCTTGTATTATTTTTAATTTTAGTTTCTTGTGTACAATTTGGAGTTTAGTATGGCGTTCATTATCACTGAACTAGTATATATATTTGTTTAGGGGCCAGCTGAAGGACGCCTCCGGGTGCGGGAATTTCTCGCTGCATTGAAGACCTGTTGGTGGCCTTCTGCTGTTGTCTGTTCTGTGGTCGGGTTGTTGTCTCTTTGACACATTCCCCATTTCCATTCTCAATTTTATCACATATAAAAATTGTGGTTTTTATCCGACGCAATCATAGGTTTGAACGTTGTTTTCAATTTAGACTTGTATATATATAGACATATATCCAGTGGCCCTAGAATCAAAACAGTTTGCAGGACAAATTAATGAGAAATTTGAAGAGCATTGAAAACCAAAAATTGCAAAATGTTGTGTCAAATCTGGCTAAGACCATCTATGCCTGGTGGTAAAAAATCCTTAGTAAATAAAGGGATTTTTCAAAAAGTTTTCTGAACAGTAAATTTCCTACAATGATGCATTATGCTATTTCATGTCAGCACAGGAGGACAGACTACTGGTGTTGGGACACCCCTTGTGGGGAAGTGTCTACCAGCAGTGGCAATGGACCAAGTGGTGGTAAAATCTTACCATGGACACCAGGCTTATATTTTTGTATCAACACTAATTAAAAGTCAGCATCTATCCTACATGCTACAACTGTGAGAGAGAAGCTGAGATTGGCAATTCAGCATTCTCCTTATTAAGCTTATCAAAGTGCAGACTTTTTTCATTTATATTTTTCTTGTTACTTACATTTAGTGGTAAAAGATTGGAAACAATATTTTATCATTGACATTGGTGAATTATCTTCTTATCTTTTTCATATTTCATTAGATGGCAATGGCATGCTTGATACTGTAATACAATTTAAAATTAACATATTGCATGTACCTAATCTTCCCCCTTTTTTTAAAGTGAGCTAATTGGACTGTAATACGAAGTACTATAATACTATGAATCAAAACTGAGACTACTATAACACAGTCTCAGATCAAAAATGTCAAAATAATTGAACAACTGCATGAACTGTGCCAATAACAAAAAAAATATAAATGTGTATTGTATTAAAATGTGGATGTTCTGTGGTAAAAATACATCCCATGTGAGGGATCTCGTATGTAAAAATTGAACTGTATATATAATGAAGAATATATGGATAGTCGACCTCTCAATGGATAGAAACAAGTGTCAATGCCCGGTGTCAATGACTCTATTCCAACTAATTATGACGTATTGAAAGGCTAATTTCATGTTTTGCTATGACGAATGAGGCATTAAAACCTGAACAATGAAATGCATTAATGCCCTATATTTTTTACTATATCATTGCTATATTACTTGTGAAAAATACTAGCCTGGAAAGCACTGCCTGGTAAGGATATCAGATGCCGGTGTTGTAATCACGTGGATTTTGTTGAAATCGAGGCTACTTTCACTTTCGTTTTGAAACCTGCATACACTGGGACATATTGATATCTATAGATATTGTTATTGAACCCCCTGCAAACTAAACATAATGCATAAATCTTATGAACAGTTATTCTAAAGAGCATTCCTGACATCCTCAGACCACCTGCCAAAAATAGACGTATTTACACTGTAACTGTGTAAGTGTAAGTTCCCGCAAAACTAACATCCAGGGACTTTGTCCCTGTAACATCACATAAAAAGTAGGTAAATTATATATATGCCAAAACACACAATATAAGAAATGTCTGGTGATGGTTCTCAGCCTGACCAGTTTCCTTCCTTTATGGAACTTTTTCATAGGCAAAATGATGGATTAATCATGACAAATTATTTATATAGTGTTTGGTAGTTACACATTCTTGATAATTTGTGTTTGTGGTTTGTACAGATGCAAAACAATGCAATTTTAGAATGTTTTAAGATGTAGCAAATGTAGAAAACACTCTTCATGTTCAATATATGGTTTTACATTTAAGAAATACTTGGATAACAAAAGTTACAGTAAAATATTTATAAAAAGTATAAAAGTTAGCTGATCATGACCAGTCAGGGGACTTACTTAAATGGGTGAATTTCTAAATCACTGATTCAAGCAACATTATGTCCATAAAGGTTGGAAGTAAGAGTTGTCTTTCTTTAATAATCACCTATTTAAGTAGTACAAATTAATCACTAGACTAAGTGATTTAATTTTATTGTAGCTTTAAATATAGAATACTAATGATCCAGGGACTAATTATGTTGCTAAAATTATCAGAACCAACATCTGTGTTGGTAGGATGACCGGGTCATGTCAGGTGATGACCTTGTACTAAATCTAGGATAATGACATAAAAATCACTTGTTTAAGTATCATACCTCAATTTTCTTTCAAAATATCACTTCTTTAAGTATCATTATTTTAATAACCCCCACTAATTTCAACACCCTCCCCCACCCCCCCCTCCCCGAACTGAAATTTTGATCACAAACAGTAGAATTTTATTACATAATCTATAAGATGAAACCTTGAATTTTACAGGAAAAATACTCCCACTTCTGGGAAAAATCTGTGAAGAAAGTATCAGTTCATTATGTAAAGCCATTTTTATAGCATTTTTTTCAACTAAAATAGAATTTGCAGCTAAATGATTGCATCAAAGGCATAAACCTTGCTGCTTAAAAGAAGCAAAAAGTTCATTTTTCAATTTTACTAATGAAAAGATCTTATCTAAACCTATGTGTTTAATATTTTGGTAAAACTACAAAATCACAATTTGTGACAAAACTTCGAATTTGCTACTTAAATAAGTGATTTAAAAATCACTTATTTCAATAGGTCCCCTGATTGATGACCATACACACATATGCACACACACACACATATACACACACACACACATGCATTATCTCTGTAATGCCTATTTTCTTTCTCTCTCTCCTTTATCTAACACTCACTCTTTTGTCTAACCCACTCTGGTCTTTGTCTTCAGTGTTACCTTTGACTATTGAATGTTTGTGGGGTCTGTTTATTTTTTCATGCAAATGTGTTATTGTGTCAATTAGTAGCTTCATCACTTGAAATGGATTAGGTTATAATCAGATGTCACTTTTTAAAGAAAATTGAAAGATTAATCTGAATAAATAACGAAAGTGTTAGTGGATTCTTTTTAACTTGTAAAATATGTCATTAATCAATAATTAGTTGATAATTATCAGTTAGTCGTTATATTTGTTTTGCAGTTTGAAAGAATGGCACTCCAAGCTTGGAAGTCACTGGCAAAGATGGTAATGTATTTCAATTGTTAAATTCTGTGGACTAGAAATTAATTGGCACAATGATAACAGAATGTTTGATTTCACTTCTAAAGTCTATATTGTCCTCAATAATACAATATATGTATTTTGGCCTGTAAATAACTATATCAATATCGGGTTTAAGAACATCAGTTGTTTTACCTGCTGCTGTCAAATGCGTTTTGTTAAAATATACTTTTTCACTCATTTGGTCCGCTGGAAAATGTTGTTTGTGCTGTATTTAGACCCCTCTACCAAGAAATTTATTTTGCATGCACACGTATAAAAATTGCGGTTTTTATCCAACACAATCATAGGTTTGAACGTTGTTTTCAATTTAGACTTGTCAATATTGTAACATATATAATTAGTATGGTTAAATTATTAATATTAAGAACGTCATACAACAGATAATTTTTGGTGAAAAAATATAGATTTATATGCATTATCAGGTTATTGATTTTCTAACCATGCTCATGTATTCATAATACCTAATTCTGATTAACCAGTACCAATGATGGTACCTTCAATTGACAGGATATTCCTATTTATATAGATGCACAATAACAGCGATCATTTATGACAAAATTTTAAATCACATTTCATAGTGGACAGCATGTATTTTAAAAATATCATTTGGCTATTATGGTTACAGCTGCATTTTGAAGAATACAATTTTTGACTTACTGTTCAAGTATAATTTTCAATACAACCTCAACTATATTTTTGCATTTGATACGTGATTTTGCTAATTTTTTTCTGCTTATGGATAGTTGATTCCAATGAACAATTTCTGTTCTTGATTATTCTTTATTAAATTTGAATTTAAGTTAATACACCATGCAGTAGCTAGTTAGCATGGTTGGTATAACTGGGATTTTGGATTGATTGGTTGTTGGTGTTTAAAACCACTTTCAGGACTATTAGTCTCTGTCATATCATGGCAGCCAGATTTTATTGGTGAAGAAAACAGAAGAACTTGGGGCCCAGAACCACTGACCGACCACATGTTGACATAAATCACCTTCTTCACCTTACCTGATTCTGACTACATGACAGCTTTAATCACCTTTATCACTTTACCTGATCATGACCACATGGTGACTTCAATTGCTTTTATCAAATAATCTGATCATGACCTCATGATAACCTTAATGGACTTTATTGCTTTACTTGATGATAACCACACGGTGACTTTAATCGCCTTTATCACTTCACCTGATCATGACTACATGTTGACTTTAATCACATTTATCACTTCACATGTTGACTTTAATTACCTTTATCACTTCACCTGATCATGATCACATGACAACTAGAATCACCTTTATCTCTTTACCTTGTTTTACGATATATATCTTTATTCTCATAAACCAAAATCAATGGTACAGAGATATTATAAACATTAATGATATAACAAATAGTCAGAATTAATACAAATGTATGATCTACAACTATTAAAAAAAAAAAATTCCAGCTTATATAAAAACACATTATGTATGTATACAATAGGATATAAACGTTATTAAACAATGTTACCCCTAAGAGTCCAACCGTTTGTTAATCAGTCTGATAAATTTGCACAAAGCGTTCAGCATACTGATGTTTCTAGTATTCATTAAATCATGAAATTTCAATATGTTTAGTCTGTTTCGATAATAAGGTTTCAAACATTTTTCTCTTTCATCATTAAATTTCGAACATTTAGAAATATAGTGAAGTTCATCCCCAATATTTCCTGAATTGCAAAGTTTACAATATCGATTTTCTCTAGGTACATTTTTCCACCTCCAAGTTTCGATAGGAAGTTTTTGACTGAGGATCCTGAATCTACAAAAAGTTATAATATTTTTATCATCTAGGATCTTGAAATAGTTTTCCCTCTCAGCATTGTCTTTGAATAGACGATAATTAATAGCTTTTCAAGATTCTATTAAGATTGAGTGCCAATTTTGTTTAAATTGTTCTAAAAAACTAACTTTAACATTGTGATATAACCATGTATTACTGACAAAATACTGTGCATTCCAAACATATGACAATCCACAACTATCTAGAATAGATTTGATATTATTAAGCCATGGAATATTTATCCCATACTTTTTATATGCATAATTATACAAAATAACAGGAAGTTTTTCTTGCTTTCCTAACAGAAGTTTCGACCAGTAATTTAAAACCCGCAATTTGATATTAATTTCTAAAGGATATCTACCAAATTCTCCATAGATCATGAAATCTGGCATTGACTCCTTTGCATTCAACAAAATTTTACAGAATTTAAGGTGGACCCTTTCAATAACAGAATTATTGCCTACTCCCCAAACTTCACATCCGTACAAAAGAATAGGCTTGAAGATTTTATCAAAAAGATCGAGTTGGCATTCTATAGATAAATTATGTTTTCGACCTTTGCGGATAACATGGTACATGGCGTGGATTGCTTTTTCTGTTTGTTCCTTTTTTGCTTTCGACAAACTTTATGTTCTAGAAATAATGACACCAAGGTACTTAAACTTATTTACAATTTCTAAAGCAGTATTATTATATTTGAATTCTATATTTGATAACAGTCTACCTTTTGAAAAAATGACAATTTTGATTTTATTTACATTAACTTTCAATTTCCAAAGTTCACAATAGTTATACAAAGAGTCAAGCTGCTTTTGTAAGTCATTTTTTGACTCTGCCAGTAGAGCTGTGTCATCTGCGTACAGAATCAGAAACAACTTTAAATAATAGTCTAGCTCAATTTCTATATCATCGGATACTGTCTTGTAAAAAATGTTCAAGATCGTTTATATACAAAGAAAATGATAAAGGTGAGAGACTTTCGCCTTGACGTACACCTACGTTACAAGGAAAATACTCTGAAAATACACTGCCATTAAAAATTCTAGATTTAATGTTACTGTACATATTTACAATGGTATCATACATTTTTCCACTGATAAAATTCTCCAGAAGTTTATGCCATAAACCAGATCACTAGACTGTGTCAAAAGCTTTTGCGAAGTCTATAAAGGCACAAAAAAGTTTTTTCTTTCGCATCTTCAATAGTTCAAAAAGAAAATGTAAAACAAAAATACTATCTATGGTCGAATAGCCTTTTCTAAATCCTGATTGATTTTCATTTAACAAAAAGTAATTTTCCAAAAAAGTGGAAAGTCTTGAATTCAGAACTGAAGTTAATAGCTTTCCCATGCAGCTAAGAATTGTGATAGGTCTATAATTTTATGGATTTTTTGTATCACCTTTATTTTTAAAGAAAGGAATAATGTTACCAACTAACCATGCTTCTGGAGTTTTACCTGAATCGAAAACAATATTAAAAAACTGAACATAAATAGGCATAAAAATATGGCATGTACTTTTAATATATTTGTTATTAATTTTTTCATCTCCACATGTTTTTCCATTGTTTAAATGTTTAATACAAGTAAATATTTCTTTTTCTGTTATGGTACTATTTAAAATTTCATTGAACTGGTTTGGTACTTGCGAAACTGGGACATCGTCGACTGATTCCAAAAGTATTTGGTTTATATGTTCGGACAACTTATTTACAGAATTTTGCGACATAACATTTGACTGCAAAAGAATTAATTCATTTTCTAATTCTGCAATCTTATTTCCATCAATGTTCTGATGAACTGTTGTTTTTTTTTCACTATCCAATTTTTTTAACTTTTTGTTTTCACTGCCAGTTCTTACATCAATGTTTGCAGTTTCAATTACATCAAAATTATGCTCATGCAATTTTTAAGGTTAACAAAAGTGTCAATGGACAATGTACATCTGAGTAAAGAGATGAAAAAGTATCTACATTCATATTTACAACATGATTTAACAATTCAAATGAACCAATAAAATAATCAACCACACTAGAACTTCTACATGTGAATATTAATCACATCAGTTGATCTGATCGTGACCAAATGATGACCTTAATGGACTTTATCTCTTTATTTGATGATAACCACATGGTGACTTTAATCACCTTTATCACTTTACCTGATCATGACCACATGGTGACTTTATCACCTTTATCACTTCATTTGATCATGACCATATGGTGACTTTAATCATCTCTATCACTTTTCCTGATCATGACCACATAGTGACTTTAATCGCCTTTATCACTTCACTTTATCATGACCACATGGTGACTTTAGTTGGATTTATCACTTTACCTGATTATGACCACATAGTGACTAAATTGATTGCCCTTATTAGACACTTTACCTGAGTATGACCACATGGTGCTTTTAATTGCCATTAACTTTTTACATGACAATTGCCACATGGTGACTTTTATTGTCTTTACCTTACCTGATTAAATTTATGTGCCTAGAATAAACCTTGTTTGAATTACTAATTTTTAAAAATAATTCCAATTACTGTTTTGAATGTTTTAATCAGATGAAATATAATATGGATCATTTTTTATAGTAAATTAATATTTTGTTTTTCCAAGTTAGTTATCAGGAATTTTACATTCACGATCACCAGTAAAATAAGTGCTTCCTGTTATTTGAATTTTTTTATTTTTAGATTATATTCAAGCATGATAAGTATGATCCACTAACATTGGTATATAATTCTGTGTGGTAATGCTTTGCTCTATACTTTTGCTTGTGCTGTATCATGTGTAGTATAATTATGTATATGTTTTCCGTACAGTATAACCAGTGTGAACTCTACTGGAACTCATTCTATTTAACACAATCATCATTATTTGCATTTTCATTTTTGTTTTTTCTGAGTTATTTGACTTTGATTGCAAAAAATGGGAAACATGAAAAAAGATTTTTATTACAATTACTTGAGAGGTAAATACTCTTATTTTGTTAAAAGACTAAGGCTCGACCTCAGCAGGTAGCAGCTGTTAAGAAAGTTAAAAAAAATATACATTTGAAATGATTTGTTTCGTTTCACAAATACTTTTATAGTATTTTATATTTCCTTATCTTTGTAAACATCAGATGTGAACTGTCTATTCTGTCTCGTTTTTTTATGAAATAAATTATTTACTGCATGTACTATCAATTTGCATATGGATTAGGATATTAAATATGTGTTCTGCCATTACATATCAGGCAGACAACACAAGGTACAATATAGAAATGGTACAACACGATGAACCAAAGACCTCAGATAATTCGAACCTTGGATGAGTCGAATAGTTATGTCAAGTCCTTCCATTTTTCGACTTTTCAAGGTTCGACTGCACTGTGATTTCCAGTATAATAAAAATAATACATAGGATGTGTAAAATATTGAACTTTTATTCACATCTATAGAGATTGATTGATTTTTGTTTGCGTGACCTCCAATGGCAAATTGCTGTCAACCAGAGAGCCTAACTTGATTCAGTTGAATCAGTTGTACTTGTTCACAAAGCTGAATCCTGCCCAATAGAAAACAGTCATTTGCAGCTTAACTTTTCAGAAGTTGTCTTCTCTTGAGTAATTAAGGGGTAAATTTGATCGGTGAATAATTCAGACTTCTGGAAACCTAGCTCTTATATTTGTATTAATCTTTCTGAGATAAAGATATGCCAAATTTCAGTTAAATTTTGCCTAGTTTAGATGATGAATATGAATATAAAGGGATGTCAGGTTTATGTGAATCAGACAGCAACTCAAGGACATAAAACCAAAATACGTCTGGAGGTGAAGATATATCAGTCTTCAATTATAGACAAATGTCTACCATTATATATATAATACATCAACTTGTCAAGCTCCTGAGTCTATAAAAATTAATTGCCATTGATATATAACAGTCAAATTTGAGTTAACAGGTATTAACAGTTAGCAACATTAGAAACTTGAGGGATTGCACCGTTACAAAGCTTCCCTTCTGAAACCATTTCAGTTAAATGTGATGAGAATCATATACAGTCAGGGGTAATACTTATATAAGTGTATTTTATTTACTGGTACAGGTAACATATTTGAATGGTATATTTATATCCCTTAGACAATCAAATTCTTTTTACTTATAGAAGTGAAAAAAGTTATATTTTCATCTTTTCTTGAATTTCTCTTGACTTAACTTTCTAATAGAGTGCTTAATTGTCTGTCTTTTTCAGATGTCTTTACTAATCATATAAGTATAATTTCATGGACAATGAAAATCTCATTTGTCTGTTATCTTTAAAAAAGTAAAATCACAAAAATACTGAACTCCGAGGAAAATTCAAAAAGGAAAGTCCCTAATCAAATGGCAAAATCAAAAGCTCAAACACATCAAACGAATGGATAACAACTGTCATATTCCTGACTATAGTGGTACAGGCATTTTCTTATGTAGAAAAATACTGCTCATTTACAAGCCTCCAGGGAGCAATTTTTGAAGGCCATGCGCAGCTATACTTAACATCTTTGCGCAATTGATTTCTTTGTTAAAATAGTGAGATGAAAGGTTAACCTCTAATTAAAAGATATTATCAAACAAGAGAAAATTTGTTTCAGGCATGTTTTTACCTCCCAAAACTTGAGAATTTCAGGGGTTGTAAAATATTTTTACTTATACATGTATAAGTAAATTTTTGGAGAAGATTAAGGGGAGATTATTCAAACCTTGAAAAGAAAAATATAAATGTTACAAATTTACTTATACAAGTATATAATTACTTTCATCTTCCAGTAAATAAAAATGACTTGTATAAGTATTATCCCTGACTGATATATATAGGATATCTTTCTAAATTACACTATACATGCTATATGACACAGTGGTATACGAATATGAGGGGCCTGATGGGTTATTTTCGTTCTTCGTGATCGGCACATTTTCGCTATCGTGATCCGTTTTTCTACAGATTTATTTATTTTTATATTTTCGTGATCCGTGATCACGGAAATTTATTTTCTGTGAATCGTGATTGACAAAAAAATCAACTCGTGAATCGTGATGAGACCCCCCCATGAGGCCCCTCGAATATATACCGAAGTGTTGATTGTGACCATTTTTTTGTAGTTGTGATATTTAATATGTTTGCAGGGTATATCGCTTTCATAAAAAAAAATTTTCAATTGCTTTTGGCTATTAAAGAAAGTTTCTATTTGTAATTATTATGCTTAATTGTAAGCTGCTCTTTCACTTTTATAGTTTTTGTTGTTTCTTTTATTTTGTTTGGCTTTGGGATTTTTTTTTGTTATATTTTTTCTCTTTGCTTCTCTATTTCTGGTAATTATATTCAGATGTAAACAACTTTCAAAATTATCACTATGTCATGAATTGTTTTAGCAGTTTAATGATGAAGATAAAGCTTTAGAATCTTAACTGACTCTTGATCACTAGACAGACTCTCAGAGCCTGACTCTCAAGATGAACAACCACAAATTTTCTGCCTTTGCTATATTTGATCGTTCCTCATTTACATCTATCCTCATTACTTCTATTAGTCTTCTTTGGTGTTTTGTTTCATTATATTATTTTGTGTTACATACATTTTATTTTACTGTTTTGGTTCCTTCAAATATACTGAATTTCATCATGTCAGTTGTTTACAGTTAAATGTTTTTTAAGGTTGAGATATACAATGATAGATACCCAAATGCAGGTGTGGTGTGCATGGGAGTAGTTTCTGGTGCTATACTTAATGCTGGTATGTATTAAACATCAATCTATTTTTAGATTAACTTGGAAGTATTTGTACAGACCTCCTTCCCAATTTTTTGTTCTTTTATTTCTTTTACCTCTCCTTTTCTTTTTTGTTTTTTTTTCAATTTTAAGAAAAATCAGTGGATTGGTTTTGGAGATTCAATGATGCTTTAAAGATAATTTGAAGAAAGTTTTTCACCAATTTTACATGCTTTCTTTACAAATGTACATCTAATTAATAGAATTCATCTGATAGTGTCTCAGAAGATAAAAGAGATAAACGCCATATTTTTGTTTGGTTTTTTGTTTTATGTTTAACATATCACAGTTGAATTCAAAATCTTATAAAAATCTGTGACAATTACTCAATTACTGTACATGTAAACTGACATATATGCTTTATATTTTGACTACTTTAAAAGTATATGGTGTAATACAAGGGAGACATTCTACTCTATCCCATCTTTTACCCTTCATGGAGACCCTTAATCATGTGTGTGCTTTATTAAATACAGATGTTTGTAATGTACATGAAGTCATAGTTTAATTCAATTTAATTTTTAAAAGACAACAGAACATTCAGTATGATAGATTAAATAACACAAAGCTGAGAGGGTGATAGAGCAGATTGTTACCCCTAGAAAAAACCTTGTCACCCTAATGGCTTTGCCTTTTTAGCTCACCTGGCCCGAAGGGCCAAGTGAGCTTTTCTCATCACTTTGAGTCCGTCGTCCGTCGTCGTCGTCGTCCGGCGTCGTCTGTTAACTTTTACAAAAATCTTCTCCTCTGAAACTACTGGGTCAAATTTAACCAAACTTGGTCACAATCATCATTGGGGTATCTTGTTTAAAAAATGTGTCCGGTGATCAGGTCAACCAACCAAGATGGCCGCCATGGCTAAAAATAGAACATAGGGGTAAAATGTCGATTTTGGCTTATATCTCTGAAACCAAAGCATTAAGAGCAAATCTGACATGGGGTAAAATTGTTTATCAGGTCAAGATCTATCTGCCCTGAAATTTTCAGATGAATCGGAGAACCTGTTGTTGGGTTGCTGTCACTAAATTGGTAATTTTAAGAAAATTTTGCAGTTTTTGGTTATTATCTTGAATATTATTATAGATAGAGATAAACTGTAAACAGCAATAATGTTCAGCAAAGTAAGATCTACAAATAAGTTGTCATGACGAAAATTGTCAGTCGACCCCTTTAGGAGTTATTGCCCTTAATAGTCAATTTTTTACAATTTTTCGTAAATTTTTGTAATCTTTTACAAAAATCTTCTTCTCTGAAACTACTGAGACAAATTTAACCATACTTGGCCATAATCATTATTAGGGTATCTAGTTTAAAAAATTTGTGCGATGACCCCGCCTTCCAACCATCATGGCCGACTTGGTTAAAAATAGAACATAGGGGTAAAATGCAGTTTTTGGTTTATATCTCTGAAACTAAAGTATTTAGAGCAAATCTGACAGGTGGCAAAAATGTTCATCAGATTTAGATTTATCTGCCCTGAAATTTTCAGACGAATCCGACAACCCGTTGTTGGGTTGCTGCCCCTGGGTTAGTAATTTTACAAAAATTTTGCAGTTTTTTGTTATTATCTTAGATATCATTATAATATCTAATATCTAATACTATTAATTATGATTTTAACCTTATTTTACATGATTTCTAAAGCATCAGTAAATACAGGTGAGCGACACAGGCTCTTGAGAGCCTCTAGTTTTAATCTGGGTAACAATCTGCTCTATCACCATCTCAGCTCTGTGTTATTTATATACTTAAATATTTGATTATTTATTATAAAACATCTCTATCAATATAGAATAAGGAGATGTGGTATGATTGCCTATGAGACAACTATCCACCAGAGACCAAATGATGTAGATGCTAGCAACTATGGGTCACCTTATGGCTTCAGCAATGAGAAAAACCCATATCGCATAGCAAGCTATAAAAGACATGACAAATTGTAAAACAATTCATATGAGAAAGTCAACCACCTGATTTATGTCAAAACAACAAACGAAAAAAAATATGAAATAGTCAGAAATAGATCAACAAAAGGCAACCACTGAAATACAGGCTCGTGACTTTGGACAGGCACATACAAAATGTTGAGGGGGTTAAGAATATTTGCTGGAGCACAACCCTCCCATAACCTGTGATGTTATTTTATACTTGGTAGGATCATTTGTCATCATATTCTGTTGAATGTGCTGTTTAATTTGACAATTTTTACAGGAGTTATTGGGTTTTGACCATTATTTTTTAATACTGTTATAATAATTTCTTGTGAATGCATCTCCTCTGAGACCATTTCACTGAAAGCTCTCATACTTGGTAGGATTGTTTGCCATGGTGTATAGTTGACCATAGTATACCATCAATTTGATTTGACCAATTTTATGGGAATTATAAAACTTATTTTGACTATTGTACCATTATGACACATTGTGACACACAATTTAATTCCTCATCTATACAGCTTGGGATACATTTCGCTACGGCATAGCAATCTTGTTAGCCATTACAACCATGTTTGTTGACTGACCAGAATAAAAAACACAAACTTTATACTAAATACTCTAAGGATCATTCATTTCAAGTTTGAAACTAGATAACTCAGAGAAGACATTTCTTTGAAAAAAAGTTTACAAGGGACACATTCATTTGTCAAAAATTGTTGAATAGGTTTTAACTTCTTAAGGAGTCATACAATGGATTCGGTTATAATGGCATTTTTGTTGATCTTGTATTTGTTGATTATGTTTGCTGTTTCTACCTATCTATTATAGTTTCCAAGATAATAGGTAAATACACGAAGATTATTCAAAAGTCATCATTTACAGACAAAAGTTCTCATTAAGTCATCTGATAATTTTGGTGAAATAGGAAGTAGGTAGATCTTGACATTCTGAGCATTAATTAGCCATGTTAGATTTTTTTCTATCTATTATAGTTTTAAAGATATAAGACAATTACTGCATTTTACACTTATGTTCTAGTTAAGCCATGGCAGCCATGTTTGTTGCCTGACAAAAAAAAAAACACAAACTTGTAGGCCAGGTGAGCTAAAAACTCATGTATCCAAGATTGAATATCAATCAGTAACATCCAATAGATTTAGTGTAAAGATGTTATGAACAGTCTAGTAAAACGTCACTTTGCTATGCCAAAATATAAGTATCAACAGGATGTAAAATGTCATATTTTAGGAAGACATGTCCAAAAATAATGTGATGGTTATTATCCTGAAACTGATGGATGTGTTCTTGAGCACTTATTTCTTTTGTGAGAATAGAAATTTTACTGAAATGATTTAATTGAAGTCCTATTATACAAAATGGCATTTCGATGATCTATTGAAACTACCTTTGCACACAATGCTAAAAATTAGAATGAAAAGTACAAAATGTTTATTTTTTTAATATTATTATGATATATATTTCTTTAGGGTCACCACACATGAGGAAAGGCTTTGCAGAAAATGGAAATGTAAAAAGTGTCTATTTGAAAACATTTATGAATATAAAAATAAATGGTTTGTAAAATGTTTTAGCTCTGAATGTGTATTGTGAAATTTTCATGAATTAATTGATTTTTGGTATTTAAGGCCACTTAATTTCAGCACTGGTTATTTCATGTCATCCAGTTTTTATTGATGGAGGAATCCGGAGTGCCAGGAGAGAACCATGACCTTCTCTCCATCCCCCACTTTCTTGGGAATGGACCCCCTTTTTTCTATTAACATATTTTTTCAATTGCCCTCCTGTCGATGAGACCGCAAGCTAATGGCAAAAATAACTAAAAGACTCAGTCAACATAATCTTCATCAGTAGAGAGTTGTCTATACAAAAATTCATCTAAAACACTGTATAGATTAAAAAATATCCAACATCAATATCAGTTTCACCAAGTTCTGTACATGTATCATGGTGTTATCCGCCACACAATTTTCTTAGATAGTGAAATATGTAATTGTGAATGCAATGTATGAGAAGTTTATTGATAAGTTATAATTCGCTTTTGTCAGATAATAATAAAGGACATTACCACAACTTACAAAATAATCAGAGAGGAAAAAAACAAGTAGTTAATACAGCAATGACTAGACGGAAATTACGACAAGGTCAGACTATGGAAGTACAGGGCAGTGGACCAGTCACTGTTTTAAAGTCTTTTAAAGTAACATTTCCTAATGAAAGTCAAGGAGTTATGGAAGATGCTGATAACTCAGCAGTTCAAGTTCTCAAAGATGCGAATAATGAAAGGGGAGAGAACTTTATTGAAATCATCTCCCAGGAAACAAAGAAAGATGAAAATGTTACAAGGAAAGACATTGATGGTGGTTGTAATTCCAATAAGATTTTAAAAACTAATAGAAAGCAACAGCAATTTATGAATATGCAACCAGGAGCAGATTTGTATAACAGTCAGATTTGTTGGCAGCCAGATGTTGATCCAAATAATAATTTGGACAATGCAGACACAATGGGCGAAGAATGGGAGGACACACGTACTGCTGTAGAGGTAATTGAAGAGATAAGAAAGCAGAGACAAATAAAGGAACCAGAAAAAAGTAATAAATTAATCAATTTACAAGCTTACAAAACTATTACAAATAAGGAAGTTAAGTTAAAAAGAATGAAGAAAGTTGTAAGAACAAAACGAAATGCAAATGGCAAAATTTTATCTCAAGAAACAGTCATGATTGACCTAAATTCAGAGGAGGAAGCTGCTTTTAGAGAAAGATCTGCACACATTACTCTAGAATCACAGACAAGTAATATGATTGACTTAACTTCAGAAGAGGAAGCTGCTTTTGGAGAAAGATCTGCACATGAAGTATTAGAATCTCAGATATGTACCAATAATATGATGAAAAACAAACAGGAAGGAGAGAGAGCAGTTGTACTTAAGAAAAACAGGAGGACAGTGGAAATAGAACCCTATCAAAACAATGCATATGTTGCATCTGGTCTACAATTTAAGAGCAGAACTGTAAGTAAACTATATTGTAGGTTGAACACTATTTTTTCTAAGAAAAAGGACTGTATTATCCCCTAGGAAAAAGGACTGTATTATCCCCTATCTCTTTCTATTAAAGTGACTGTGATACTTTGATAGGATAGACAGACCATTTTTTTGTGTTTGTAGATAGAAACTTTTTAAAAATAGCAAAAATAATCAACAAGACAAGATCTAAAAATAAGTCAGTATGACCAAAATCGTTAGTCGACATAATTTTTTGAAGTTATTGCCCTTTATTGACGATTTTTTTCCAATTTTTGCATTTTTGCCTATTATCTTGAAAACTATAATAAATGTATAGATACTTTAAAAAGAAAAAATGGTCAGCAAGACAAGATCTACAAATAAGTCAGTATGACCAAAATCGTTAGTAAACGCAATTTATTGAAGTTATTGCCCTTTATTGATGATTTTTTTCCAATTTTTGCATTTTTGCCTATTGTCTTGAAAACTATAATAGATATATAGGTACTTTAAATAGAAAATATGATCAGCAAGACAAGATCTACTAATAAGACATGTGGTTGAAATCATCAGTCGACTTCTTATTGGAGTTATTGCTCTTTAATAACAATTTTAAGTGTTTTTGCCTATTATCTTGAAAATTATAATAGACCGAAAGACCCTTTAGAAGCAAAAACGATCAGTAAGACAAGATCTACAAATAAATCAACAGTGCAGAAATTAACAATAGACTCCTCATTGGAGTTCTTGCTCTTTCATGAAAATGTTTACCAATTTTATGTGCTTGCCTATTATCTTGAAAATTATAAAAAATAGAAAGACACTTTCAATAGCAAAAAGGATCAGCAAGACAGATATACAAATTTTGCCAAAATCTGTAGCAGAATTGCAAAGGAGTGATTGCCCTCAAATGACATTTTTTTTGTTTTAAGGGTAAAAAAACGAAAGAAAATCGATAGAAACTGTAAACAGAATAAATGATCAGCAATACAAGATCAACAAAAGAGACATTTTTATTATTCTTGACATAAAAACATAAACGAAATGCTTGAAGCAACAGATTTTTACCTTTTATTAACCATTGTTTAAATTAATTTGGTATTCCTTGACAATCAATTTTTTTTAATATTTCTAATTTCCATAATATTCTATGTCTTCAATTTTGATTCCATTTTGTGTCTGTACTGATTACAGAATAGAGAAGATACAAGAAGAACTGTGAGGATAGATAACTTATCTTTATCTACATCAGATAATACAATCAAGGCATTATGTGGGTGTGCCGGACCTTTTCAGGTATGATGTGATTGTAAAACAAAACAGCCATTCAATATGATCAATGTCTCATATCATAGTTTGTATATATAAAGTTATGTGATAATATGCTAAATATCTATTCCTCTGAAACAAATATCTATCCATATTTAACCAAACTATAAGCCTGACTCATCAAAAAGTTGTCATGGATCTATGTTTCCTGTAAAATGTATTTCATCAGGTATTTTAAAGAACAGTTATATATATTTTGCATAAAAAATTATATATTTTTTATAAATTGAGATAGAATAATGTATTCTATTTTGCACATATGATAGCATTCATTTGCTCCTTACATTATTGTTTTTTAATGCCCTTACCCAAGGATGTCTTTTAATTCTTATTTATAAGTGTATAATTTTATTATTGTTGTAGGATTTTAAGAGAGCAGGACAATCAGCATTTGTTGTATACATGGATTCTAGGAATGCCTTGAAGTTCAAAAACAAATATGATAGGTAAGGTATACATACCTAAATTAAAACAAATATGATAGGTAAGGTATACATACCTAAAATAAAAACAAATATGATAGGTAAGGTATACATACCTAAAACAAAAACAAATATGATAGGTAAGGTATACATACCTAAAATAAAAACAAATATGATAGGTAAGGTATACATACCTAAAATAAAAACAAATATGATAGGTAAGGTATACATACCTAAAATAAAACAAATATGATAGGTAAGGTATACATACCTAAAACAAAAACAAATATGATAGGTAAGGTATACATACCTAAAATAAAAACAAATATGATAGGTAAGGTATACATACCTAAAATAAAAACAAATATGATAGGTAAGGTATACATACCTAAAATAAAACAAATATGATAGGTAAGGTATACATACCTAAAACAAAAACAAATATGATAGGTAAGGTATACATACCTAAAATAAAAACAAATATGATAGGTAAGGTATACATACCTAAAATAAAAACAAATATGATAGGTAAGGTATATATGATACATACCTAAAATAAAAACATAATGTCTGTCTTATAAATATTAATGTCATTGATCAAAAATTTTTTAACTGTCACTGACGGCTCCAGCATCAACAATTGTTAAGTGTTCTGCTTAAGTTATTTTGATAGTAACTACTTGTGATAGATCATTGATATTTACTATGAAGTTGCATTACAATCTGTACATATCAGTTTGACGACTATTTTGATGCCCTCCCCCTAGGTCATGGTCCAGCGACTTTGAATTAAATTAGCAATTTTCAATGTTAAGTTTTCTGCTTAAGTTATTTTGATAGGAACTACTTGTGATAAATCATTGATATTTACTATGAAGTTGCATTACTATCGGTACATATCAGTTTGGCGACTATTTTGAGGCCCTCCCCTAGGTCATACTCCAGTGACTTTGAATTAATTAGCAATTTTCAATGTTAAGTTTTCTGCTTAAGTCAGTTTGATAAGAACTACTTGTGATAGATAAATCTTCAAATAATTGACATAACAGACTAATTTTTGGAGTCATTACCCTTAAATAATTATTTCCACCAATTTATTGCAATTTTTAAGTCTCCCAAACGAAGTTTGGGAAGACTTATTGTTTTTGCTCAGTTATTATTATTATTATTCTTCTTCTTCTTCCTCTTCCGCCGCTTTTAAATTTGAACTTGTCCGCACCCGTTCTCCAAAACCGCTTGTCAGATTAACTTAGGGTTTCACAATATGTTAGACTAACATGTCTAGTGGTGCAATCAGGGTTTTGTTTGTGCAATGGGGTTTATAAAGGGGTACTTTGAGGGGCAAAAAGAATAGAGGGTTTTACTATAGAACCCTATGGGATTTTATTTTTTTAAATTTTCAAATAATTATAAATTGAAAACCGTTTGTGATAGACACAATCTTTTTAATTGAAAAAATTCTAAATGATAAAACCCATTAAATGAAATACAGGGTTAGTCCCCAGGGGTCATCCCCACCCCCTGTCATTTAAGAAAGTTCTAATACCTTGTAAGTGGTCAAGATCCCCACCCCTAAACCATATATATTCTGGTTTGTCATGCTAAGATGGTTTGAATGATATACAGGGTTAGTCCCCAGGGGTCATCCCGACCCCCTGCCATTTGAGAAAGTTCTAGTATCTTGTAAATGGTCGAGATCCCCACCCCCTAAACCATATATATTCTGGTTTGTCATGCTAAGATGGTTTGAATGATATACAGTGTTAGTCCCTAGGGGTCATCCCGACCCCCTGCCATTTGAGAAAGTTCTAATATCTTGTAAATGTTCGAGATCCCCACCCCTAAACCATATATATTCTGGTTTGTCATGATAAAGCACATGAAATGAAATACAGGGCTAGTCCCCAGGGGTCACCCCCATCCCATGCCATTTAAGAAAGTTCTTATATCTTGTAAGTGGTCAAGATCCCCACCCCTAAACCATATATAATCTGGTTTGTCATGCTAAGATGGTTTGAATAATATACAGGGTTAGTCCCCAGGGGTCATCCCGACCCCCTGTCATTTGAGAAAGTTCTAATATCTTGTAAATGGTCGAGATCCCCACCCCTAAACCAGATATATTCTGGTTTGTCATGATAAAGCAAATCAAATGAAATACAGGGTTAGTCCCCAGGGGTCACCCCCACCCTTTGCCATTTAAGAAAGTTCTAATATCTTGTAAGTGGTCAAGATCCCCACCCCTAAACCATATATATTCTGGTTTGTCATGCTAAGATGGTTTGAACGATATACAGGGTTAGTCCCCAGGGGTCATCCCGACCCCCTGCCATTTGAGAAAGTTCTTATATCTTGTAAATGGTCAAGATCCCCACCTCTAAACCATATATATTCTGGTTTGTCATGATAAAGCACATGAAATGAAATACAGGGTCAGTCCTCAGGGGTCACCCCCCACCCCATGCCATTTAAGAAAGTTCTAATATCTTGTAAGTGGTCAAGATCCCCACCCCTAAACCATATATATTCTGGTTTGTCATGCTAAGATGGTTTGAATGATATACAGGGTTAGTCCCCAGGGGTCAACCCAACCCCCTGCCATTTGAGAAAGTTCTAATATCTTGTAAATGGTCGAGATCCCCACCCTTAAACCATATATATTCTGGTTTGTCATGCCAAGATGATTTGAATGATATACAGGGTTAGTCCCCAGGCATCACTAATGCATATAACTTTACTGGACCAAACCAATGTTCACTGGACTTTGCCCAATGTCAGGCGACCCTGGGAATTACGAATTATGGGAGCTTCGTTTGGGAGACTTCGTAACAGCATCCTGTTACAATCATTTCTTGTTGTTTGTTTGGGTTGGATGTTTATTTTAATTCCTTATGCAAATTCATGACTTGGTGTTAGTGGTGTTTAAAACAGACCAAAGATTGTATGGTTTTGTAACTTTCATGGTAATATATAGGTTGGGTTTTTTTTATCCTTATGTTTATTTAGTTTTTGTATGCAGATTGTAATGCAAGTTTTGAAATTGAAAGTGTCAACAACTGAATAATATACTGTTACATATTGTTCTCTTTTCAGACATATGCTTGATTTATCAGTTCTTTCTGTGGAGTTGATTGAAGACTTCATACCTATGGTATTTATCTCTTTATACAATTATATAAAAAAAAAAAAAAATTGTTGTAAAGGAAGAATCATAAAATTCATTTTAAATGCAATAAATTTTTATTTTCAGTTCAACTGACCAAAAGGTCAAGTGTGATCTTTTTATTGTCATCAGCACACCAAATTTAAGAGAGAAAAAAATATGTTTGAAATCACTAGGCCATATATACATGTATTAGACATAGCCACTATTTTTTCTTTATAGTTTCTTTTTAAAAATGATGTCAGCATGGTTTCTGCTTAACTGAAGGAAACATATATATTATTTTTTAGGTTATTAAAAAAATCTAAAAAACCCTGTATAGCTGCTATTTTTTCCGAAATCAAATAAAATGGTATAACAGGAAAGTGATTCAATTACATGATTAAAATATTGTTAGACATCTACAAACTCCTTCAAACAATGGACAATATCTACCAAAATAAACAGAATTTTATCTATGCAACTTACTGGCTTACTGAGCTGCTAATCCTTTAAAACTACAATATAGCATAAAGTGTGGTAATTTGTTTGTTACAATTTGCACATCCGTAATTTTAATTTAGAATTAATATTTATTAATATTTTTCATAAATTGTGTAAAAATTGTAGAATCTATTTTTGACTGTTTCTTGGACATGCTCTACTCATATTTGTGATTAGTCTCGGCTATGCAGGTTATAATGTACTTAAATAAAGATAAAATTGGTCTCGGCTATGCAGGTTATAATGTACTTAAATAAAGATAAAATTGGTCTCGGCTATGCAGGTTATAATGTACTTAAATAAAGATAAAATTGGTCTCGGCTATGCAGGTTATAATGTACTTAAATAAAGATAAAATTGGTCTCGGCTATGCAGGTTACAATGTACTTAAATAAAGATAAAATTGGTCTCGGCTATGCAGGTTATAATGTACTTAAATAAAGATAAAATTGGTAAAACAAAAACAGTCTATGGCAAATATAATAAAGCTGCCTTTATATTACACCCAGTTTCTGGTAAATTAATAGTTATATTATAAAACAATTGTAGAGAATTTTATTGAATATTAGACCTTTTTTTCTCTAAAATGTTATATCTTTTTATATTGATACTGTCTAGAAATGATAATGGTTTGTAAGTTGAGAAAACAGAAGAATCTACCATGGGTGTTTCTACGATGACTCTGGTTTGCTGCTTAAAAAAGATGATTTTTCAGAAATGACATATTCAGTTAGTGAATGAAGAGATGCTGTATAATTGGGTTCAATATAATTCATGTATATATAAATACAACTGTTCACCTACCGATTACTGTGTAAACTTTTCATAGCATGTTAACTAGGCACATTTAAGTGTCAAGGGCCTGGTTTTTTCAAACCTTATTGTAGGAATATGAAATGTGTTGTTGTGATCTAATATTTGTTGTTGGAATATGTTTCAAATAAAGACTCCTCGTGATTCAAGAACTGCTAATAGATTATTTTTATTATGTCATGCAAAGAGAGTAGTCTTTATATTAATGCCAATAATTTTGCAATATTAAAGATAACATACCCTGCATATGCATAATGGGTATGACATACATATGTAATGCATGTACCAATAGAATTTATAATTACTGGGGGAGGAGGGGGGCAACTTCAACAGGGTGAAAAGCTATTGAAATGGTAGGATATATAGCAGAATGAATAAAGAAGATATGAGATTAAAGTAACATTGAGACGACAAGCAAGTTACAAAAGTTAACCAAAAACACAGAGGGTAGCCATATAGTATTGAGCAATGTACTAGCACCTTCATGAGAAACATTTTGCCATTGAAGACTCTTGCATCAATCATTTTCAGGTTAACTCATTTTTTTATATATGAGCTGCCTCGGATAGAAATCGACCTTATGCAAATGAATATCAATACATCTGTTATCCTATCTCGGATTGAACAAATCTCTATGCAAGGCTGTTGCTGTTTGAAAATTGGGTTGTTATAAGAACCAAATATCATCTTTCATTACGTAATTGAATGTTCCAAAATCAATCAAAGTCTTATACATGTACATGTATATGTGCACTTGCATAAGGTCGATTTCAATCCGACACAGCTCATATGATACAGTGTGCCAAATATCAATATGTATGTGATCTATTGGTATGTCCTGCCAAAGCCCCCGCAAAAACTGAAAAGGCTCTCAGACATCAGAGCAATCTCAGATTACTGTTAGTAAGAATATAACGAAATGTTGGGTAGAATGGCTATTTGAACCAGGTTAACATTTTCAAATAGCAAGTATTAAAAGTTATATGCTAATATAGTCTATTACTTTGCCCTGCAGTGTGTCATTCTACCAGATAACTTACTATTATAATATGTGCTACATTGTGCCAAATCACAAGGTGTACTCAATCTATTGGTTTGTGATACAGTGTGCCAAATCACCAGGTGTACTTAATCTATTGGTTTGTGATACAGTGTGTCAAATCACCAGGTGTACTTAATCTATTGGTTTGTGATACAGTGTTTCAAATCACAAGGTGTATTTAATATATTGGTTTGTGATACAGTGTTTCAAATCACAAGGTGTACTCAATCTATTGGCATGTGCTACATTGTACCAAATCATAAGTGAACTCAATCTATAGGCATGTGATACATTGTGCAAATTACAAGGCGTAATCACCTATTGGCATGTGCTACATTGTACCAAATTACCAAGTGAACTCAATCTATAGGCATGTGCTACATTGTGCAAAATGACCAGGTGAACTCAATATATTGGTATGTGATACATTGTGCTAAATCACAAGGTGTACTCAATCTATTGGCATGTGATACATTGTGCTAAATCACCAGTGAACTCAATCTATTGGTATGTGATACATTATGCCACATTACCCGGTGTACTCCATATATTGACATGTGATACATTATGCCAAATCACAAGGTGTACTCAACCTATTGGCATGTGATAAATTGTGCAAAACGACCAGGTAAACTCAATATATTGGTATGTGCTACATTGTGCCAAATCTACAGGTGAATTCAATCTACTAGTAGTTGAGACAGTGTGCAAAATAACCAGGTGTACTCAATCTATTGGTTTGTGATACATAATGCCAAATGACCAAGTGTATATATTCAGCCTATTGGTATGTGATACAGTGTGTCAAATGACCAAGTGTATTCAGTCTATTGGTATGTAATACAGTGCGCCAAATAACAAGGTGAACTCAATTTATTGCTATGGGATACAATGTGCTAAATGACCAAGTGTATTCAGTCAATTTGTTTGTGATACATAGTGCCAAATGACCAAGTGTATTCAGTCAATTGGTATGTGATACAGTGTACCAAATGACCAAGTGTATTCAGCCTATTGGTTTGTGATACATAGTGCCAAATGACCAAGTGTATTCATTCTATTGGTATGTGATACAGTGTGCCAAATAACGAGGTGTACTCAGTCTATTGGTTTGTGACATAGTGTACTCAATCTATTGGTTTGTGATACATTGTGCCAAATTACAAAAGTGTTCTCAATTTATTGGTTTGTGATAGAGTGTGCCAAATGACCAAGTGTACTCATTCTATTGGTTTGTGATACATTGTGCCAAATAACATATTGAACTCAATTTATTGGTATGTGATACAGTGTGCCAAATGACCAGTTGTACTCATTCTATTTGTATGTGATACATTGTGTCAAATCATAAGTGTACTCAGTCTATTGGTTTGTGACATGCAAATAACCAAGTGTACTCAATCTTTTGGTATGTGATACGTTGTGTTAAATTACCAGGTGTAGTCATTCTATTGGTATGTGATACATTCTGTCAAATCACAAGGTGTACTCAATCTATTGGTATGTGATTCATTCTGTCGAATCACAAGGTGTACTCAATCTATTGGTATGTGATACGTTGTGTTAAATGACCAGGTGTATTCAATCTATAATTGGTAGATGATACGTTATGCCAAATGACAGGTGTACTCAATCTTTTGGTATGTGATACGTTGTGTTAAATTACCAGGTGTAGTCATTCTATTGGTATGTGATACATTCTGTCAAATCACAAGATGTACTCAATCTATTGGTATGTGATTCATTCTGTCGAATCACAAGGTGTACTCAATCTATTGGTATGTGATACGTTGTGTTAAATGACCAGGTTTACTCAATCTATAATTGGTAGATGATACGTTATGCCAAATGACAGGTGTACTCAATCTATAATTGGTAGATGATACGTTATGCCAAATGACCAGGTGTACTCAATCTATAATTAGATGATACGTTTTCCCAAATGAACAGGTTTCCCAATATATATGTTCGTGATTCAGTGTTGCAAATGACCGGATGTATTCAATCTGTTTGTATATGGTACATTGTTTCGGGTGACCAGGTGCCTTTATCTATTGGTATTTGATATGGACCAAATGGTTTGGTAAACTTAAAATTGGCATGACGTATTATGGTGTACCATAGGAGCAGATGTGCTTATTCTGTTGGTGTAAAATTAGGGAGAAGATTCTAAAGGGTCAACAAAGACCAAAGATAAACAACGTTAACAGTCCACAAAACAGTTTACAAAAAATTAAGATTAGGCAACACGAACCCCATCAAAAACCGGGGGTCAATTTGGGTTCTTCGGATGGTATATGATTAATTTGGGATAAATTGTGTTAATAACCAACAGAATAATCATATATCTCATTGATATGTTTATTATTGTTGCTGTGTATGGTTTCCCCTCTGTCCATTATAGTTTTCAAGGTAATATATAAAAAAAAAACAATAGAAATTCATAAAAATCATCGGGAAAGGGCAATAAATCTCATAAAGAAATCCTCTTTCAAATTGATGGATCTATTTTTATCTTAATGGGTCAATTTGGTTTAAATCTGTTCGTTAGTTTCTGAGGTGAAGATCTTTGATTTATTAATATGATCAATGGGTAAAAGCGGTCATTTAAGGGCAATTGCTCCAATCACAGTCAGTTAACAGTTTCATTCATATGACCAACTTGCCTTTTTGATCATTTTTGTTGTTAACATTTCTTTGTAATCGTTATAGTTTTAAAGATAATGCGAAAAAAAGATAATAATTGGTCAGTTGACAATATTTAAGGGCAATTGCACCTTCAAAGAGTCAATTGATGGTTTCAATTTGTCATTTTTGTAGTTCTTGTATTACTCATTAATTTTTTGGATCTTTCAAGTTTTCAAGATGTTTGGCGAAACGCAAAAACTGGTCAAAATAATAATTTAATGACAACATCTGAAAAGAGTCAATTGATGGTTTTACTCTTGTTTATTTTTGTAGATTCGGTATTGTTGATCATTTTTGCTGTCTATAGTTTCTTTCTATTCGAAAAATTATGAACAAAAATAACGAATTCCAAGGTAAACTTAAACGAAACAATAAATCCTTTGAGGAATAAATTGATTATTTTAGTCATATAGAATAAGTAGTAGATTTCATATTCAATTTGCTGATCTTCATTTACGGTTTCTGTCCATCTATTTTCACTTTGGGAGGCAAAAACGCTGAGATCGTTCCAATAATATCATTTAAGGGCAATAACTCATGTATAGTTATATCCTGACAATTTTCATAATTTTATTTTTTAAATTAAAATTTTTAGTAAACATGTAAATCATTTTAGTGTCTATAAACTATGTCTAGTGCTATATCTGTGTCTCTGTAATATATTGTATCTGTCAAACTCATGCCTTTTATCTTGAATATATATATAACCAGTCTAAAAGGGTACAACATCACCAAAAAATGACAATAAACGAACAAATGTAGCTATAAATATTTCGGATAACAGCTTAAACTTTTTGTCCAGCCTCCTACCTGGCTAAGAAAAATTCATAGGCCGATGCGGCTCTCCGAAGCAGGGGCTTAAACTTTTTGTCCAGCCTCCTACCTGGCTAAGAAAAATCCTTCATCAGTATGAGCACGATGTAAAATGAATCAGATCAATCTATTCTGATTATTAAACTATAGCAATCTTGAATTCTATATAATAAAAAAAGTGAAACAGTTTCACCCTAACATCATATGTAGAGACGCTAATAAACTTTTAAAATTTCCAAAAAACGACTCAAAGACATGCACTATTTTCATTTTAGGCATGTCTTTGAGTCGTTTTTTGGAAATTTTAAAAGTTTATTAGCGTCTCTACATATGATGTTCGGGTGAAACTGTTTCACTTTTTTTATTGTATGGAATTCAAGATTGCTATAGTTTAATAATCAGAATAGATTGGTCTGATTCATTTTACATCGTGCTCATACTGATGAAGGATATCTGTTATCCGAAATATTTATAGCTACATTTGTTCGTTTATTGTCATTTTTTGGTGATGTTGTACCCTTTTAGACTGGTTATATATTATATTTTGTAGTGTACTGTATCATATTTATATGATCCATCACCCCGTAAGATTTATCGTTGGCTATTATTCAGTCATTTTTTTTATATATAT